GGAGGATGATCTTATGCAACACAAAGGTTGAGCTTTGTTTGGTAAGGAATGAGAAGATGAACGTACAAATAGCTTCGTGGACGTGGTTACGATACTGTTCTACCTTGGCCACGTCTTGTATGGTGATTGGATCAGTAAGGACGGGTACAACGCCACGCGGATGGCGATAAGCACAGGCAGTCCATTAACTGTCCGTCTGCTGGCTGTGCGGGGTGAATCCGAGGCCGTGGATCTGTTTGTTCCATGTACGAAGTGTGCAAGACTGCCTGCCGAGATATCTCGGATGGTGGAAGAAGCGGAAAGAGCAAGAAGGCGCAGCTATGTACCACTCCGCCTGATCCCAGCTCGACGGGCGTCATATCACGTGATACTTTGATTCTACCCGCCAGGAATACGAGTAAAGCATACTTAATGCATAGGATCGTCGGGCGAGGACGCGGGTGATTGGGAATTGACAGCATCGACGTCCGTCAACGTTGACCTCGACATCGTCGACGAGGTCGGTGTGCTTATCAGACCTAAGTTGGCATGAATATGAGAACGGAAAAGTGCAGCAAAGAAGACCCTGTCCCTTGACTGTCACGGACGTTTATTCGACTCTGCGTCACGCGCTTTCATTCTGGGTACTTTAGGCAATCCCGGTCGCTTCAGAGTTAGCTGGTAGATGCTCCGTTGCCGACCCACTGCTCACTGCAGGTTGTGATGAGAGTGTGATTGTCAATGCATATGGTCAAAGGAGTGGTTACAACCAGTGTCTACGAGTACGATGCACGAGTACAGGTATTAGTGGCATATGGGTGGGCACATAATGGAAGAAGCAGAGTGGAAGCATCAGGGCTACAAATGGGAGTATGTGTGATATTGGTATTAACCAGTGAGGAGAATGTTGCATTGCAAGCGATCAAGACCAATGTACCGACCGAGCCGGAACTTCTTCTTGGCGAGAGTACCATGTCGGGAGCGCCCGTAAAACCGCAACCATTGGTTGACTTGCACATTATCAGCGTCGCGAAGACGATTGAAGTCCTGGATGTCCGGCTATTCCAGGGAGGGTCAAGTCAATTAGGAGAAATACGAAGTAGACAAGGGCATACTATCTCATTGTATGCGACATGGTCGTCTCGGGGCACTCTCGCATATCGGGGCACCCCTTTCTTGTTGCATCGACCGTTCCAAGTCTGAGGAAACAAGGTTAGCGCATGCGCGGCTATTTGACTGGATAGGTGCACCTTTGCAGTCATGCACTCGACGCGCCGCAACCCATCACGTGGCACCGGCAGCTCTCGGGTAAGCGTGTCCTCTATGTGAGTGACTCTCCCCTCTATGCGGGTGAGTGTTCCCTCTATGCCAGTGAGTGTTCCCTCTATGCCGTCGAACCTCTGGTCTACACGAGCCAGCCCATCGATTAAAGTCTGTTGAATTTGGGCAAGGCGGTCCATTAACTGCTCGTTTGCTGGTGGGGCAGGGGAATCTGAGGCGGATCTGTTTGTACCTTGAGCAATGCTAAATTAGAAAGTGTCCCATGTAAGAGCATACATCTGAGCTGTCGTATCCCATTGAGCATTTGTTGTTTCCAGGCAACTTGCGCTGAGGGGATTCTCTTGGTTCGCACGTGGATCTCCCCTCCTAGGCGCGCTGTTGTGGACAAAAGTCAAAATTCCAAAGTCCATGAATGGAGGGAACACATACCACAACACTCTGCGACAAAGGTTGATTTCAAGGTTGATTCAAGGGCAATCAGGCACGCGTCAAACCCCAGAAGACGAGTAAATCACGTGACATTTCGACTCAGACTTCATCATCAAATCACGTGAAGCTTTGATTCCACTGACCAGGAATACGGGTAAAGTACAACGTGAAGGTCACCGCTCCCACTGAACGGTTTACGGAGTGCGTGGATGATTACTTCATTGTCTGTGGAACGGCCTATGTCATGGCTGAACAAGAAAACTTCGATGGCATCAGCTAAACAGCTCTTCCCAAATCACTCCTGGTGATACTATATCGAGGTAGAGAGGGTGTCCAACACGAAGCCGAATGTCCGTTCTAGCAGCAGGGCGATCATCAAGTGTAGGCTATTGTAAGAACCTGAGAGCAGCGTGCGCAGAATGAGGCGTGCTATCGACCGTCACTTTCATGTCGCTAGCTCTTGAGGCGACTTCAGGGGGACGATGGAGAGGAGGCGGGGGTGGGAGAGGTCAAGGAGCCCTTCGTGCGAGAGGCGGGGAAGGAAGGGGGGGTGGAAATAGTGCGAGAGATCGGGTTTGGAAGGACAAGAACAAGGCGAGGCGAGGAAATCACGATCAGAAGAGAGGGCATGACAAGAAGCTGGCACGCGCTGCAGGACCACCAGCATCAGACGCCGGTTGACCTCATTGTATGCGGACGGATAAACATGGCTCCGGAACACAATCAACAACTTACCTGGTGGTCACACCGGATCAGCCTGAAGTTGGTGTGGGATGCACGGATCCCTCGATATTTCAGTCAGATGGTCTTCTACGCATCTAAAAGCAATTGTTACGCCAACAAACGCAGCCGTATCAAACTAGCACCACTGAAGGAAGCGGTGAGATGGAGATATCCTAATAAGAGTACTGTGAGCGGTCAGTCGTCCTGCTTCTGTTGATACGCGCCGATAACTTTTGCACGGATTATAATAGCAACAGGCGCTCGACCTGAGTAATTGGGACTGCGAGCAGAGCTTCGACAAGGTATATATAGAATGCAGCTACGCTTCTCGAAGGTCGACAATCCATTCGTCACTGTTTGTTGACACGCTCCGATCACCTATTATCACTATCAAGCCGAGTGAGCTATAGGTTCTCCAATATAGTTGTCGTCCTTACTTCCTGCGTTTACCTCTGCTCTCAGCGTAGGATGACGACGAATCCCAACAAGAGAGAGGAAGAATTGAGCGCCGCCGAAGTCCTGCGGCAACCAATCACCCTGCCATGCGGAAAGATTATCCCAAATCGTCTAGTCCAGGTACCAGATCCTTGTCGCGTCCCTTCATGCTGTTGACAGTTCGCAGGCGTCGATGTATGAGGCTCTCGCGACGTTTGGCGGTGGTCTACCGAACAATATCCATTTCAGACTGTACGAAGCATGGTCGCACGGTGGATGGGGAATGATACTGTGTGGTGCAGCACGTCTAGTGACACAGACCCTTTCCTTAAACTTAGGACGAGACTCTCAGGCAATATCTTCATCGACCCACGGTATCAAGGTGCGTCGTATCCTACTTTGCATCGACATCACTGACTATACACTCAAGGACTTGGACAAGATGTCATCTTCCTCCCCCGTGGTAACTGGGACGCATACAGGCGCCTTGCGAGGTCTATAAAAGGGCCCCAACCTGGTCCATCAAGTCCACTCGCTTTCATGCAGCTGAACCATGCCGGCCGCCAGTCTACTCGAGGCAACTTTCGCCCACCGTGGGCTCCTTCTCTCGCGCCCTCTGCAATACCTATGGACTCACAACAAGGCTGGCTTGCCAGCATCGCATACCGGGCATGTTATGGTGTGGCTCGTGAGATGACTATAGAGGAGATCGAGGGGGTCGTGCAGCAGTTTATGGATGCCAGCGTCATGGCCTTCGAGACTGGTTGGGATGGAGTCGAGATACATTGTGCCTATGGCTGTGAGTTTGTTCTACTGAGCATGTTTGTATCTCCGTTGATAAGCTCATGTAGATATCTTGTCCTCATTCCTATCGCCCCAAGTGAGGACAATGTCTTCCTGATCCGCTGTTGAACGAAGCTCATCAATTCGCAGACGAATCATCGCAAGGACGCCTATGGTGGGAACACTGGCGCTCGCAGCAAGATATTATTGGATGTCATATCCTCCGTCCGCGCAGCCGTTCCTTCGTCGTTCGGCGTGGGGATCAAGCTCAACTCAAGGGATATGATGAAAGGTGGTCTGTCAGAAAAAGAGGCGCTGGAACATGTGCGTCTCATACATGAACACGGAGGAATCGATTTCATCGAGATAAGTGGTGGGACATTCGAGGCGGCGGGTAAGTTCTGTCCTGTCGACACCATACCTGTCTAATATCCCCGGAACCTTCATGCTGCCCAACGATTCCTTGACTACCAAGCCATTCTTTGAACGTTTCGCGATCGTGCCATCCAATTTACTCGCAAACGATCCGGACGCCCCTCGGATAATTCTAACGGGTAACATGCGGTCACGCGTCCAGTGCGCAGAAGTCATCAAGAGCAACACGGCTCAGTTATGTGGTATGGCCAGACCAGCGGCGATAGATCCACGATTTGCGGACAAACTCCTTGATGATCGGATACCCGAAATGATGGCTGTGTCTCCGTCCTACGACATCAAAGCCGGCCCCGTCGTCAACCTCGCTCCTATTCGAGTCATTGGATTCTCCGTGCAGACGATGTATCACAGTTTCGCGCTGGCTCGGATTGGGAGAGGGCAGAAGGTTGATATCCGGAAGGGATTCTGGCCTATGACTTTATGGCATATTCTGTACAGTCAGGATTTCTGGACTCTTATTCTGACAATCGTTGGTGTTCTTATTCTGTTTCTTGTTACGAGTAGATGATAGATGGAGGATATTAATAACCGGGATGTCGACTTCCGCTGACTGAATCGGTTATGTGATGAGAAAAGTAGAAAATATTCACGTGCTTTGTGCAAAATAACCGTTTTTAGACCCTTGGGAACTTTGATGATGAACGGGGAATAAACCATGAGGGGAACACCAGAGGGGGCCACGTCAACGTCCTCTCTTCTCCTTGCTTGCCGTTCAGGATGACGTCCAGCGTTAACAATGGACATACGAAAGAGCTGAGCGCGACTGAAATTCTTCGGCACCCGCTGGTTCTGCCTTGCGGCAAAGTGGTCCCTAATCGTTTGGTCAAGGTACGCGCTCTGATGGCAGATACCGTAGACTCAATTTGATATGGAGTAAAACAGGCATCAATGTACGAGGCACTCACATCGTATGGAGGTGGTCCACCGAATGACCAGCATTTTAAATTGTACGAAGCATGGTCAGAGGGTGGATGGGGAATGGTGCTCACTGGCGCGTCTCTTCCAATCTATTTATCTACTTCGCGAGGCTCATTCTATACTAGGGAATCTGATGATAGACCCTCGATATCAAGGTGAGTGGCATGATTATTTTGTTCTCAATTCGCTGATAATGTACTCCAGCTCTCGGTCAAGACCTCATCATGCTCCCGCGCACCAAATTGGACTCATATAGTCGTCTTGCAAAGTCTATCAAAGGTCCCCAACCCGGCCCATCATCTCCACTCGCCTTCATGCAACTGAACCATCCTGGGCGCCAGTCGATGCGAGGCAACTTTCGCCCTCCGTGGTCTCCTGCCCTCGCACCCTCTGCAATACCTATGGATTCCGAAGAGGGATGGCTCGCTACCCTCGCATACAGGACGTTTTACGGCATACCTCGTGAGATGACTGTGGAAGACATCGAGCGTGTGGTAAGGCAGTTTACGGATGCAAGTGTCATGGCTTATGAGACTGGTTGGGATGGTGTTGAGCTACATTGCGCTCATGGATGTAAGCCGGCGATATTTTGATGGTGGTTTCCAGTGTTGACTGAGTGGTGCAGACCTGCTCTCTACATTCCTCTCGCCCCGGGTGAGGACGATGACGACCATTTATATCATGCAAGACTGACCAATTCACAGACGAATCATCGCAAGGACGCCTACGGCGGGAGCACACGTGCTCGCACCAAGATATTGTTGGACATCATTTCATCCATCCGGGCGACTGTACCTTCGTCTTTCGCCCTGGGAATCAAGCTAAACTCCAGGGACATGACGAAAGGTGGTCTTACTGAGGAAGAAGCCTTGGAACAGGTTCGACTGATACACGAGCACGGAGGGGTTGACTTTATCGAGATAAGCGGGGGGACGTATGAGGCAGTGGGTAAGTTCTACTCTTCAGGACACTACTGCGTTGTCTTATTGGTGGAAGCATTCATGGAGTCAAGCGATTCCACTGCCAAACCATTCTTTGAACGTTTCGCCATGGCGGCGTCTTCACTGCTTGCAAACGACCCGAACGCACCTCGTATAATCCTAACCGGCAACATGCGTTCACGTGTCCAGTGCGCCGAGGTTGTCAAACACAACACAGCACAACTGTGTGGAATGGGCCGACCAGCAGCGATGGATCCAGCATTTGCTGCCAAACTGCTGGATGATCGTGTGCCGGATGCCAAAGCCGCAGCACCTCCTCACGATATCAAAGCCGGTCCAATTGTCAAGCTTGTCCCGGTCAAGGTCGTTGGCGCTTCAGCGGAATCGATGTATCACAGCTTCGTGCTGGCCCGTGTCGGACGAGGACAAAAGATTGATGCGCGGATGGGGCTCTGGCCGTTGACGTTGTGGCATATTTTGTACAGTCGGGACTTTTGGACTCTCGTTGCTGCCCTAGCGGGCATCGTTCTTATGCGGCGCGCCTTGTTGCGCAAGGGTAAAAGTAATATCTCACAGAGGGGCGATAGCGCAGGTCACCTTGCCTCGCCTTGCACGTACTTCTGTGGCTCTCCATCTGTGCCGGGCATGTAGAATTACCAAAATCGATAGTTCTCACTAGTGACCATCCACCCACGATGCTTCCCAGCCATCCCTGACATCCCATAACCCCCATCCAACATTGGAACAACTCATTCATTGATCCAGGAGGCTACTACTGACTATTCCACAGCTGATATCGATTTAATATCAATGAGAACATACGGGTTCCCTGACACGCATTACGGATTTCGGATTTCGCTATTACGAAATCCGTAATCCGGCATGGGCTGTGCACCTTTTGATCCCAGGTCCGGGGCCCGAAATCAGGTAAGCAATATTAGGTCATGTAAGCACGTGACCTAGGCACACTTTCTTTTCTACTCCAAGTATTGTAGAGTATTATACATGTAGATAATAATTAATAATTATTTAATGCACACAATTGAGTCAATTATTTGAATTTAAAGGACTTGTGAGGACACTCAGGCACCACCAGAAACACCATAAAATTAACAGTATCTACAAGATACCTAGGAGTTTTTACCAGAAAAACTCGAGAATATTTTTTTGGGTTACACAATGCTGAAAAACACATAATGACAGGCAGGGGAGGAGTGGAGAGGAGGGGGAAGAGGAGAAGAAAAAGAAGAAAAAAAGATTAATCATCCCCTCTCTAAGAGATCTACTTGGGGAGCAGGGGGCAGGCTGGGGGGGATGTTTGTATCTCACCATTCTCACCCACCCTCATTGAAATCTTGAGGACACAGTGGTTGGGATCTTGTCAGGGCACC